AGTTTTTGCTGGATGATGGCCACTTGCGCCTTGGCTCCTTGAGTCGAGTCTTTAGCATTGATCCACCAGACGAAGGCGAAGAGGTATGCACTCATATCCCGGGCAAGGCTCTCGGCTGCTCTCCCGGTGCTTCGCAGTGACCTCACTCCGTTACTGATCCACTCCAACCCATTCTAGATTCCAGCGCTTGATGGTGATTCGGCCAAGCGTCTCATTGAGATGGTTCCCTTTGACGCCATGCCCTACATGGCACCTGAGGTGCGCAAAGGCCTTCAGCTCTCACCCAGCAGTGACATGTATGCACTGGGCTGCATGCTCTTCGTCATGGCCACGGGCCGTCATCCCAACGCCGATGACCTGACGGTATGTGATGAGCCGCCCGACCTTCCTTCCTTCTTCGCCTCGCTGGCCCCTCACATTCGGGCCATACTCTTATTCGCCACTCATCAGGCGCACGTCGAGGACGAGGATCTCTTACAACTTCTACAATGGCTCATGGCTACTGATCCTGCCGAGCGACCCGAATGGCTGGTACGCCACCCACGACTGCACATGCTGGTGGCCTCAAGGAAGCTTGGTCTCAGTTTACTTGCCTGCTTTCATAGAATTTGACGTCGTCGAGGTTCTTTCGTGGCACCTTGCCACTGGTGCACCTGCCCGAGATTGAGAGCCTGCAAACCACCATCCAACCCCCCGCCACCCGTCCAAGCTCAGACGCACCTGGGCAGGATTTGATCATGGGCGATTCTTCCTTGCGCAGCTCAACCGCCACCGTTGTCAATGAGGCCACTGACTCACTTGATCAAACATATCAAACCGCTTCCTCGGCCAAGGGCCCCGTGTTTGATTCCACCTCGCCATCACCCTCAGTACGTTGATCTTCCCAATTTGGTATTTTTCTGTAAAGATTTGATTGAAGCAGCATGCTCGGCCGCAGCGGTTTTGCTTGCGTGGCCCACCAGCCAACGTTGTTTCTTGCTGATGACCGGTGGTCTGATATCGCTAGGCAGCGGAAACTCGTGCATCCCACTCAATTATAGCCGACCAGTCAGCCCTGCGGCTCTCACACGAAGAAGGGGTGGGCCACAGTGAGCCGGACGATCCTGGCAATGACCTTGAAGACGAGGACGGCGACAGCTTGGATCTCAATCAATCTCTGCGGCATACGGACGAAATCCCGCCCGAGGGTGTGCGGCTACAGGTATGACCCCACCTGCTTTAGGCTTGTAGCATCCGCTTGTGGTTTTGTGGCTCACGAGACTGTGCGTCACTGGCACTGGCCAAACAGGATGAAAGTCTAGATAACAAGTCGCCATCGGGCTTGGGCAGCACCACCGTGATTCGCAAGTCGATGGTATTCAAGCATGTGAGCTGAATTCCGTCGCGACAATCCTCATATTCAGTCACTTTCATATGTACTCACTCATACACGCCTGACTTTGCTTTGCTATGATGCTTTGCTTCACTTGGCTGGATCGGGGTGAATCTTTGCAAATAGCCGCAAGTGCCAACTGCCGATGCGTTGCGTCGTCACAAAGCGCCCAGTCAGTTTAAAAGTGAGGCGCCAGCATCAAACGCTGCACCCTCAACTCCGTCTGCGAGAACCGAGGAGGCCCCAGCCCCGTCTGTCAAATCTCCAGAACGCCCCAAGGGGCGACTTTCCAACGTGGCGCAAAGTCAAGTGGGTCTTGCCAAACCCCAAACGGCCGACGCACCCGCCCTCCTCGGTGCTGAGCTTCCACAGAGGTTTGTACTGGAGCTTTGCTCATTTTCTCCTGCACGCACGAGCCGCTTTTACTGTATGGAGTCTAACGTTGCCCCTCTCTCCGAATTTGAACCTGTCCTCAGCCGCCAGTTGCAACGGGCTACAGCGCACGAGGGTGCCTTGGTTGAGGCCATGCGTACTGGAGGAGCACCTCGCTTGGCTGAGCTTATCGTGCACGACTCGGACGACGTCGTTCATCCTATTATCGGATCCAAGGTAGGTTTGCCATTTCTGCATCCATGTTGTTTGATTGCACTCCTTGACCCGCAATCAAGCCAGCCTTGCTTGGCACGTGCGACGGAGGCGCCCTGATCGGCCGGTTTGCCGTTAGCTCAAGACTCCGCCCTACGATGCCAAGGCCGTGGGCGTTCAGCACCTATCTGCGACCCGCTTGCTGGAGTTGAAGGACGAGGAACTCAATGCGTGGCTGCTGAGTTGTGACTCCCACCTGGGACTTGTCTCACCGGAGCAGCGGGCGGGTAGCCGGTGCGTGTGCTCAAGCCAGTCAGGGCCAGGGCAACGCTGGCCTTCATCTCATCATCTGCGGGACGTGTACCATTCGCTCTACGCAGAAGTGCTTCAAGGAGTCGTTCGGCCTCGGGCAGGCGCAACGTGGATGCAAAGCAACGCACCCATTTGGCCACATACCTGTGCCACCTCGTGCTTGCTGAGGCTGAGGTAGGCTCGTCAATGCATGCGTGTGTGTGTGTGTGTGGGAGGGGGGGGGGGGGGGGG